ATGAAAGCTATCTATCTTATTATTAAGTCACATAACCAAATGAAACAATGAATTTTTTGTAAAAATTTATCTATATAATTAGATCAATAACTCTTACAGCTGCTTCAACACGATATTAATGTTAGTTCAATATTTTACATGTTTGATTCTACCTTGACTGACAGTTTAACTACCTCGGCTCGTTAAAACAATGGTCTGGTCCATTCAACCGATGGACGAAACTCATATTGTGCAACCTAAAATTATTAATTTAACTAGTTTTTTTTTCTCAGTGAATGATTTTTGGAATATAATTTATAGTAATTTTAAATCGCATTCATTATTTTCGTAAATTATTATATTTCGACTGTAAAACTGATTTTGAACGATATTTATGCCTGGTCTGACCCATTCCTCTTTTATTAAAACGGAAAGTTTAGTATGAAAAATCATTTCCATAAAATGAAAATCGAATAGAATAGAATAGAATAGAATAGTCATTTAAAACTCCATACAAATAATTTGAAATAATTTTATTGATCGTATCAATAATAAAGTATGTGCACAGTGTTAAATTATAATCCAAACAAACTTGATTCTGAATCTAACATATTAGAGGATTAATGGATGAGCGTAGACTTAACAAACAGCCGAACAACAAGAAACTGTGTAGGCGCGCAGGAAGACTCAAGCCATACAACAGACACCTACAACGCGCAGCGCACACTGACCCTTGTATATAAACTGTATAAGGTACTCTCAAACGTGCACGAGCGTGCAATCAACGCTTCAACACCTCGTACACACTCTTTCTATACCATCGGCTCGCTCTCGGCTGCAACGAAAAGCCGAAGAGACTTTCTCACTCTTCGCGCGCTCGCAAGCATATACACACTGCAAGCAAGCGAGGTATCCGCTTCCAAAGAGAAAAGAAGAGAGAGAAAAAGAGAGAGAGAAAGAGAGAGAGAGGAGACTCGCGCGCAAGCACGGGGTAACCTAAGCCTCTCCTCTCTCTCCTTGTATCGTCTTTTTTTTCTTTTACTTTCGTGGGCCCAACTCGCGCGAGCACGCGATTCGTCTAGACGAACCGGTCTTCCTTGCCTTTAACAAGGACCTCGTTATACCGGTGTTATATAGCCCAAGCTGACGGACCCCAAGTCCAAGAGATTATAATGAGGGCGAGGCGAAGAGGTTAGAGACGAGAGAAGATTTCGAGAAATTCATTTGGGTAATTCTTTGAGTAATCACCTTCGACTCTTGCTTTTTGCTTTCTTCGGGAGGGCTTCACCTCTATTTTCTTTCCTTTATCGTTCTCTGACGTACGTGTAGTTTTTCGTTTACGAGCCTACAAACTCGATTTATCGCTGAGTAGAGGAGAGGGCTGTTTTAATTACCGCGATAAACAATATCCGCAGTGAGCGTTATATAGCCTCGTGAAATTTTTTTATTTTTAGTCGTTTTGCGTGCTACCTGTTGTATGCAGTCTTGCGAAATCGATGTAAATCAGCCAAACTTCGAGAATTCACATGATTTAAAAGAATATTAAAGTTTTTATTAGCGTCTATCTGTAACAATCTTTGATCATGCGAATAATGGGCAGAAATATTGTAAATGACAGTATATATAATATTTTATTAAGTTGAAAGTTGCTTATTAACATTGGATCTATTTATTTTGTATAGAATTATTAATCAATTTATTATTTGTATACTCTCAATAAAACATGTATTTTCATAATAAAAGGATTTCAACGAATTGAAAAGGTACGTAAGAACCTCGAGCTCACGGAAAATATAATAACAAGAATATTCTCAGAAAGTACAATACACAACTCTTTCGAAGCTCTAAAGAAAAAGAAAGAAGAACTTAAAGCAAAAGATCATCTCGAAACCATTCCCATTCCAAAACAAAAAGAAAGCTCGCAGGCAGAAATCTTTTCCTAATATTTTTCTTGTAAAGCTTCTTCGTTCGTTCGTCCAAAGGAATATATCGATGCATCGTTGATATGTATTGAAATTCAGTTGCAGCTCATCTCCATGTAAATCGACAATGCGGTGCATAAGTAAACAAAACGCGTGGTTGCGCGAAGGGAGGCGCGGACTGTTAAATGGCGCGACGAGGCATTAAAGGCATAGTGTCATATTTTAGCTTGTGCAAAGTAAGAAAAATTTATTTATTCATTCGTTGATTGCGGAAACGTACAATAATACCAGCCCGTCTTCCTCACATGCTCTCGGCAAGAGCGTGTTTCTAAAGCGTGCAGTTGGTCTTTTATTTTCTCGTTCCTCTCTCTCCCTTCTTCCGTTTATCAGCGCTGGCTATCTGAAATTACCAGGCCAGCGAGACTCTGTGGCTCTGAGACGAGGTCCTTGTTTGCTTTAACGATTTTTCTCGCCGCGCAAAAGGGTTTTTATATCGTTTTATTGAGTCTCGGAGCAAGAGATGACGGTCGGTCGCCTAATAATTGATCCCTGCAATAGCGAGAATAGCGCTCGCGCATTTTGTTCTCATCTTTTCGCGGAAAGAATAGAGCGCTAAAAACTGCAGTTTAAATTCTAGGTAAGACATTTTATATAAATAATTCAGAGAAGCCGCCTGTACACCGAAACTGTATTGTTTGCAACATTTGCTTTTTCCATTCAAAGGCAGAATGATTACGTTCTCAATAATATCGTCAATATTTTCATCGTTGCGCGACACATACCTTGCGCTGGGAAACGGTAATTGGAAAAGGAGGCGCGGATAGCGAGTGCAATATCTCGCGACAATAAGCCACATCCTCGTCGTCGTTGCAAATATTTTCTCGCCGTGGCGGGGCAAACAATGCGTTCCAATACAAGCTTATATGGTTTTACCAACTGAATCCTCTAGTGATCGTTTTTTTCGAGCGTAAACAACTTGGCTTGTGCGCAAATTACAATTAATCGAGTTGAGCGGCCGCGATTACTTCCGAAATACTTCGCGACTTTAGTGTCGCTTTTTTAATCTTTCATTTTCGCTGTATTCCAGAGAGATTACTGCCGATCGTTAATTTCCGCGTCGCTCTGCGCGCGGGATTTTTTTTTCCGATTTCCAAGCTTACGAAAGAGAACGAGAAAGGATTCAGCAATACGTCAGCTTGTAAATCATCATCCGCTCGACGTAAATCCATCTGCCGGTGCTCGTTTACCCATAAGGTGGATTTGCTTTTACAAACGTCAGGCTTTCAGGCGCTATAAGCCCAACAAAAAATTTTTCCATGTTTTCACCTCCGTAAACCTTGCGCGCGTTAATCCGGTCCGTTTTCATTGTGCAGATGTTTATTTATTAGATCCGAGCGAGGTGAAAAATAAACACTGCGGCTCCACAACCGGTTCACTGCATATAACACCCACGCACGCGCGCGTAAAATACGTTATGGGGGTATCGTAAATAACTGCAACGAAGGAGGAGAGAGACAAACTTCTCTCCTTTTTTCTCGCGCTGTTTGCTGGAGTGGTTATTATGTGCTGCACGGAGACTTTAATATTTGGCTGCTTGGATGATAATTGTTTGTGCGACGGGTGATAATTATGCTGTGGAGTGTGCTAATTGCATTGTTTTTTCGAAGCTTGTTAAGCTGGCAGATTGATTGGACAGTTGTTGCAAGTTGTCTTGAGTAATGAGATGATGAGACAAGAGACCAAATGAAAATCGCGTAAACTTTCAACTTTACAAAACATATCAGGCAATGAAGTGCAGCGAAAGAGAGAGAGAGAGAGAGAAAGAGAGGCATTTGCAACGGAATGTTAATTCACTTTGAAGAAAACATTTCCGACAAAGTGGCTTGATGCAATTGGAAATTCCGTCGTCGCGACAAATGTCAAGGTCGCGTGTACACGACGTGGAAATTCCATGGTGTTTTTGCCATCCTTTATATCGATATTGTTGAAAACAAAGCCTATAATTGCTGTAAATTACAAAGATAGTAAAGAAAGAACGTAGTCAATGAATCGCTGCCAAGAGAGACCCAACGAAAATAGAAAAACTAACAGCTGATTATCGAGTAAAACCGTCAGTCCGCTACACAACCGATTAATTCCCCCATGGCAACTGCTCGCGCGACTCTCCGACAAGGTGTGCGCTCGCGCGCGCGCGCGTGAAGGTATACATCCCTTTCTCGCGGCTGCCTGTCGGCGGAGAGAGAGAGAAAGAGAGTAAGAGAGAGAGAGAGAGAGAGTAAGAGAGCGAGAGCCGCTCACGCTGGCCGTTAATTCGAATTCTTCTACCTCTCTCGCGGTAAACGCTTCCTTTTGCAGAGTCGCCGACCGCAGGTTATATGATGCGGATCGACGTTCTTGTTTAGTTTCAGACAAGAGAGAAAACTACTTTACGCGAGAGATGAAGTAACGAGAAAAGTCCACACTGTGCTGCGATATATATAGATAAGTTTCGATTGAACGAGCACGACTTTCTAGCTCAATTACTGCAACTGTTTTGCCGACGAGTTTTGACTGTAATTGCAGGGTTTGTTCGGCAAGACTTGTTTCTTTGAGTTTAGAGCGACATCAACTTGGTGAATGACAAATGGAGCTTTCGAAAGTTTATCTTGTCGTTTTTAAAGTGGAAAACCTTCCTTCAGAATTGATGTTCTAAGTGAAATATGTTTTTTAATGCATGGCAAGGTTTGTATTGTTCCTAAGAACTCTTGTAAAATGATTATCGATATAAATGTTTTTGCAGTTTCATATTCATATCGACAGATAAATGTTTGAATGTCTATAAGGTTATCCAACATTTAGTCAGCTTATCTATTCATCGGCAAATCAAATCGGTGAGTAACAAATTAATTACGAATCTAATATAACTCCATTTAACTTCTACTGAATTCTAATTTGATTTAATTAATCTATGTAAAAGAAAAACAATAACAATCTTCACAAAAAATAAAAAAATATAAATGTACGATGACAGTCAAAACAAAGCCGCATTGTACGTTGTTCGAAAGAAGAAGAAAAGAAACAAACGAATTTTAAAAATACACTTCGATGAAAAACACTTACCCATAAGTTTGCGAACCTCGGCCTGACTGAGGAAGAGGTTGAAGGATGCCTGCACCTTCGCCGCGAAGAGAAGACCAGCGACTAGCAGCGCCCACATTTTGAACGTAAACAACGATCAGCTCGCTCTCTTCGTTCCTTCTCTCTCTCTTTCACGTTTTTACTGCTGCCTTGCCTCTCTTGCTGGTTCGCTCAGCAGCCGTATTTCAGCGTTGCTTTTCGCATGGTGTACGTGCACGCAAACGACACCTGAATTATATTCCTCACTAGGCGTGATAATGTAAAGTTGACGTTGTAAACACAGGAATGCACGCACGTTGATATATTTATCTTATGGTGAGGTTATGTATGTTTGCTACGCGAGAAAGAGGAGTTGACTCGCGGAAGGGCAGGACGCGTGTGCCGCGGACGGCATCGGCGCTCTACGGTAAAGTCTCTCGCACTACTACTGCCGCTACTTGGTGCTGTATACACTGTGCTGCTGCAGCCGCCGCCACCGCCGCGTGCCAGCCTGGTGGCGCGCAGGCGCGATGCCGAAGCTAGCCGATTGCTCGCGAACGCGAACGAAAACGTGACGGCGGAGTTTCTGTCCTCTCTCTCTCTCTCTCTCTCTCTCTCTTTCTCTGCCTTCCTCTCTCCCTCTCTCTTTCTCTTTCTCTGTATCGTTTTTTCTTCGTGCTCGAAGAAAAAGAGGGAATTCTGGAGTTTCTCCACTTGCACCCTGCGGGTGCTGTTTTCACTAATTTCGAGGGATAAACAGCCTTGAAGCAGTTTCCGTTTGTTTGGAAAAAGGAAGTTGAACCGTTAAGTTGCGGTCGGTTTAAGACATTCTTATAACTGTGAAAAGCTTTTACTTTTTTTTGACTTATTATGGGACAATGGTGACACCGGTAACTGCACTGCTACTGGGAGGAGTCACTGCTGGTTCGTTTAGAGTAAATATTTTCCAATGAATTCGCGATGGTTGTCAACGTTAGAGTTAGGAACCGTGCAGGATCTTAATAAGCGTGTCGGAAACGATTAAACTTGGTATCAATAGTTTTTCTCTTTTTTGAAGCTATATAACGTAAACAAATTTGGATTCTTTGTTCGTAAAATATTGCAAAGTCGAAAAGAATATTTATACAAAACTATATGTTTTACGTTTTCCTAATTTTAACTTTTTTCCAAAACATTACCTGATCATATAATTGGTATCTTTATTAGATGATATAAGTATAAGCTTTATTTTTATTATTTTTTAATACATAAATAATTAAAATGTTATATGTCGTTATTTTTGCTATGCGTATATTAAACACTAATGTTTACAAAAAGCTTTACTGAGATTACTTAGATTTCTTATACTAAACTGTATAATTTAAAGTCGATATTATCCCTATTATTTGACCAGTGTGATTGCTCATACATGTATTTATCTTGAATAATAAAAAAATACATGGAACCATGTATATGTTCTTATTACAGTTATAATTTTAATATAATATTCAAGTATATAGATGCACACAGAATCAATATTTTGTTTTAAGCATTCACAAATTATTGACTCGCGAAAATCGGCTTATAATTCACGAATGATACTGCCAATATTATGATGGTTTTCACCACTAAATTCATGAAAAATTCTTTAACTTAAGATATCCTGTATTAATAACAGCACTTTATTACAAACCGTCAATATTTGTATTAAAATTTTACTTTAATGTTTCTTAAAATGTTATATACTATGAATTAGTATACCACAAATCTCAACCTCGCTCTATGTTAGTTTCAAGCAACGTATTCGTTGTAATTGTTCATATGTAACGAAATGATAAAGAATTTTTTCTGTAAAATTGTTACCGTGTTATAAAAACCGTAATTATTCTCTATTATTGTAATCAATAATTTAAAGCCTCGCTTTCGTATGAGTTATAAGTTATAGAGAAGTTTCTAAATGAAATTATTAAAAGAATTGACATATATGAATTTTCGTCATTTATTTATTATACCAGTTTCAGTATTCTATCTTGATAACACAATAAATAAAACTAAGCCTTAACTTCATAAATAAAATTAACAAAATATAATTCAATGTATATCTCACGAAAATAAAACAATTACTTCAGAGGGCTCGTATTTTTTCATCACGTCATTAAATTTGAAAACACGGGCATATATTCATGAAGAAGGGGTGGAAAAGCAGCTTAAAGCTATAACATGAGCAACCGCGGTTTTAGTGGTTAGCAGTTATGCCTCGCGGGGCGTTTTCTCTCTCTCTCTCTCTCTCTCTCTCTCTCTCTCTCTCTTTCTCTCCTCGTATCCTTGTTGCTCTCTTTCCTTCGCAATCTCTCTCTTGCCCGCGCACATCCATGAATATACAAACGCTGAAGAGATGTGCGAGAGATTAAGTGCGAAATCGAATCGAAAGATAGAAAAGGCTCAAAGTAGCCATGCCACTTTGATATTTGTTATGAGACTTTATTGCCACACGACTTTACCTTTTGCTACTACGTCTGATTAGATTACGAGTTACGATGATTGTACGCGAGCGCGCAAAACGGGATCATCTAACTATGTATATAATCCTGTTCGTTGCATGCGCGCACATACAGATGCATCAAAATTATGTGAACTTTTCGAGTTCGCAGGCATATAAAGGTATATGTGTATATACGTTGCGGTAAACTTTCTTGATGTATTGCTGTGAGTATGCTTGCGCGCAGAAGCGGGGATGTAAATTTGTTTCATGTAGCTTTTCTGATGATTGATTGGATAACTTTTGCTCTTTGATATTCTATAAGCAGGTGAATTGAACTTTGATGTACATACGACAAATAAAAAGGAATGTATGATGGTAGTCGAAGCAAAAAAGTATTACATGTTGTTGGAAAGAAAAGAAATAAACTAGTTTTAAAAATATACTTCGATGAATAAATCACTTACCCATAAATTCACGAACCACTTGGCCGAGGAATTGAAGAGAATGTCTGCGTTTTGGTGTCGATATTGCAAATGTATTCATTGGTGGTATACACCACAGAAGTCAAAATTAGAATTAATTTAGCATTGTTTTGTTGCTTGCAGTGAATATTTTGTTTTAGTATTTTGCGTCGACATATGATTTGAGATATTGCCACTGGAGCGTTACTTAGTAAAGCATACGCAATCAGTTTCAATTACATCACACGATAATAACTCAGCGATCTTAAAGAACTTGGTTTTAAAAACTTGGCATGCAATAATATTGTAACTGCAACAACTGTAATACAACTACTTCAAGTGTGTCCTTGAAAATGTAAAAGTTTCGTTGCGCGAAAAATTCATGCGAAGTTTGAACGACAAAAGGCGTCTCGCAAAAGCCGAACGAATGAAAGATAGGGAAGCCAACGCAAGCGAAGCAAGTGTATGATTATAACGACATAAGCCACGCGCCTCGGCTGCTCGAAGTCAGCGTCATAATGACTCAGGCGCGCGCCTGGCTGAGCCGAGCGCCGATTAGCAAAACCCACACCTCGGCGCCTCCGTATACCTAATTGACCGGTGCACGCTACTACTGTCGATCGCTCCAACGTCCAATTTCGCCGTGACCTCCCGAGCAGCGCCGGCATCTCTTCCATATATATATACATCAGAACTCCCACGTCGTGGGTGAGAGCAATTCTTCTCTACCTTGCGGCGACTTCCACGCAGTCTCTCATTAGCCGATCAATCTCTTTTGCAAGTAGAAACAATTAAATTCTATCCTCGTCTTCCTGTCAGCGAACGATGATCCTCTTGCTTCGTTCGAACGTCACCTTAAATGTCGATCAAATATGCATGACGCGACGGAAAGAAAAATACGAATTCTAACGAGCTTTATTTGGTTAGAGAGACTAAGTTTCTTTTTATTCTTAGTTGGGGGGGGGGGTCGTAAAATTTAACGAGATTTGAGATTTATTTTCATAAAAAAAGGAGAGGACAATTTACGGATGATGGGTTAAAGGTAAGCCTTGGTGCACCGGTTAGTCGCAGGCCTCGTTATGCGCTTGACTAGTGGCGCGAGAACCCGTGAAGCATGTCTCTCTCTCTCTCTCTCTCTCTCTCTCTTTCTTCCTCGCTTACCGGTTACGCCTGATTTGTCTATCGCTCGCGCACGAGCGAGCGAGCGAACAAGAAACCGCTGCTGCTTATGTATACTCTGTTCCTCTCTCCTTTGATTTATCTGCAAACACGAGGTACGATGCGCTGGAGAAAATTATCTTTTTTTTAATCATTATAATGCATTTTTATTTTTGTTTTGGTAGTTCGGAGTGATCAAAATAAAATCTTATACCAACAAAGTGTTTTCCGAATCGTTTACGGACAGCCACGACCTTTGAGTAAAAAAGTTACGAATTCATTCTCACGCGAGTGAAAGTATGTCATAATATATTCGCATCGCCGTGGTTATGAAGAAAAAAGCGAGCTCTCTCCTTCGAAGCATTAGTTACGTGGCGTTTCACAGGCGGCATCCTTTTGATGCTGACGTCCATGTGTAACAGCGTCGCCGTCATAAAAGCTCTACAGAAGGCTGTAACTTTGCGCGCGGATTAACGCTCATCTACGAAAAAGAAAATGTCATTACAACACTCCCGCAAATCTCTGTCGCGCATATTCTATACAAACAAAAATAAAAGCAGCGAAAGCGTAAGTAACGAGCTGCGTCCACACAACCCTCTCCTGCGTATATCTATTTTACACAAACTCGCCTCCTGGCAGCTTACCGACAGCCAGCAGTCTGCGAGATAAATTTCAAGTTGTGCGCGCGCGTGTGAGTCTCTCTCGCTGTCTTTCGATAGTCGATCAAACGAAAATCGCTTTCGTTCCTTGCAAAGAGAGAAAGAAAGAGAGAGAGGTTCAGTCGTCAGTCCACCAGTGCGCTTCCGCATTTATATCCTTCTCTTGTGTCGCTCCTAATCCGGATGAGCTCCGTACACGCGCGCGGATAGATTATGTACTCCCTTAGTAACTTTCGTTTCGCCGACTTTATAGTGTCTACGTGTGTTTGGGCAGATGCGCCGAGATGCAGATTGCGTGCTTTACTCGTTGGCATCGTAATGTTATGAAGCAGATATTTTTTAGAGCAAGTTTGCCAGAAGTCGTACTTAGGCCTACAAAAAGTACTGCAATATCTCGAATTTTATACGAATACTTTGTTTCGCTTTCTTCGTCTAATGCATCCGAGAATCCTGGAGAAACTATCCTTTTTGCTCTAATATCTAAAATTGTAACGCTATTTCTCTCGCAGACGTTTCACGTACTGCGTATTATTTGCATAAACGCGCACGCACGTTCGTATCAAATCGAACACGATCGCAGCGCATGCTCCCGGAGGGAGCGCAATACTACAACTACCAAAACGTTGTCTAGTTAACGAACAGGATGGTTAATTAACGGTTAACATCCGTGAAGACTAATCGCTGCAAAGCTGGTTT